AAAATAACATGTATTAATAAATTAAGTTCGATCGTTTGATCACATGAAATGAAACGCCTTCATTTGACACAAAGAACACAACACGTACGTGAGAACAGTTCTTGCTTGGCACGAGAGGCGTAAAGACTCAGTACAAGCTTTGGCACCGCTGAGGAGTTTTCTCATGATCTGTTTTCATTCTTACAGTCACAAGTGTTTAAAATGCACCAGCTGCAAACAATCTTCAGTGACTCGGACAGGATGTGATTGGCTATGTATTATGCTTGTTCTTTTAATTGGTTTGAGCAGTTTACTATACAACTGTATTAGATGGTGGTACCTGAAGATGTCTTAGCACTGTCATGCTTTTAATATTAAGTTAAGAGTACAAGTTGAAGGTGAGAGCACCCTGAGGGTAATTAATCAGGGTTTTAATTTTTTAAGAGTGTTCCACTGATTTAGTAACTCGTGGTGTTTAAAAGAAAATCAGATCAGACGGAGATGTCATCTTGTTTTATTCCACACGTTCTGCTTCCCTGTCAAATCATGGGACCTTCGTGACCCACAATGCAACTCGACCACCTGCAGTTCGGACAGAGATCCGGGTGTGTTGTGCCAGTAATGCGGCTAATGTAGCTTCAAGCCGCTAGCTTGCGGCGGAGATGAGGAGCGGGCATCAGAGGTCTGGTAACTTCTTTCTAACGCCACACCCCAAGATTTTCATCAATTTCAAACGTGTAGTCTTCAGCCCTCTTCAGACTCAAGTGACATCACTTGAGGCAATTTATCAGACTCCCTATGGAGAGGTGAAAGGCTCTGTACAACTTTTTTCACATAACACATTAAGTACTCCTCAAGACCTGTAAACAGACTTAATGAGTCAAATCGGTGGCGTTCCCCTTTAATACAAACCAGCCGGCATCATTAAGGACAATATAGTGCTGACAACTTCAAAACGCATTTTGCAGAAATTATTATTTAAATACATCTTCATTCAAATTAAGTGCTTTAAAACATACCCACGTTTTTAATGATAGGGAAATAATGATCAGCTGACCTTTGAGACCTTTGTTCTCAATCTTCTTTTGGACGTTGCAGTTATTTGCCTTCAGCGCATCATTTAGCGACTGAGTATCATTTTATAAAACGCAATAATAAAAAGGTGACGTTAGTCATCTGAGCCACCATACAGCAAGGAATTCAGAAGAATTCAGTTGAAGGCAGAGTTCTTACACCCTTGAATCCCAAACATGCCAAGCCTCAAACTGTCTTCCCCACACAACTCTAAAGAAATTGTCTTTCCTGTCTCGTCGAGAAGAGCTCTCAGCCTCAAGCTCTTTTATATCCTGTGGAGCTTCATTCTCATGAGGACTCATCGTTAAAGAAAGAGTGCAGCAGCTCTCTCAGTTCAAAGGTTGCTCTTCTGCATCCCAAGCCCGTGCCTAATCCTGAGTCCTTGCCGCTCCATGATGTTCCACAGCTTGCGCAGGTTGGACTGGGTGATGACATCGTCAGGTTTGAGCTGTAGTGCACGCAGGTAGTTTGCCTCCGCTTCAGGAAGTTTGCCATTCAGGTGGAGGATGGCGCCGAGGTTCATCAGAGCAGCCGGGTACTAGGAGAGGGCAAAGGCACAGCGAGAGAATGGTCAGAACAGTAGAAAAGAAGGCAGGGAGTGGTGCATAGTGCCATACTTATAGTGTTCTAAGGTCTTAGGGTGTCAATTTACAGGATTACTGTACTTGTGGCAACTGTGTCGACCTTGGATTTATCTATCTGGACAAACTATTTTAAACTTGCCCTTCTCAGTTCTACTTTTGATACAGACAGTATGAGAGACATACATGCATTTTAGGAAGCTCGCCAGGTTTTTTTTATGGATGGTGGATAAATACAAGGACTCTGAGGAAATTTGCTTAAGGCTAAGAAAATTAAATATGCATTACATTAGACCTAATGCAATCTCACAGCACAGGAGCAGGCATGGTCAAAGACAAACGTGTGTGTCCTTTAACAGTGCCACTTGGAACAAATAGGTAGCTACAGTGTGTGTGTGTGTGTGTTTGTGTGTGTCATAAAGCATTTTTTACAATATGAATTACAAACCCATTTATAGGTGTATTTCTGGAGTCTTATTCAATAAAATACCATCGTTTGAAGTTGCAAAGTGAAACCATCTGGCCCTGAATCATGTACCAGTCGTGGAAACGTACAAAATCCAAGTCATAGACATGACTCTCAGCAAGCCATAACTAACAAACACACCCAAATCTCATCCTAAAAGTCGTCTGCACCTCATCCACCAGACCTGGCCTTGTTCCCAGCCCTGCGTCCTCGCTTGCATGACATATGGTTAGCAACTTGGCAACTAGTTCACAGATTTTCTCTCCCCAAACACAACTGTTCGTCTCTTCTCAACGCTGATATTTCACTTGTTTACATTCCACTTCTCAAGCAGTGTTAAAAGACTAGCCTTAGGAAAAGGGAGCTTGTTTTTCTCACCTTATGTATCAAATGAATGCATACGGAGCTGGAATATTTCAAGTAGTGGCCTGCAAGATGCTGCAAAACGAATTAATTAATGCAGTTTTACAGAGAGAGCAGCTGCAGTGCAGTACGGCCACCCCTTTTTCATTGGGTTTGTTTTTCTCACCTAGTTCAACAAGTACACGTATCAAGCAGCTACAAGTGCTCCAAAGCACATGTTCTGCTATTGTATCACTGAGGAGCTTTGCAAGCAGCTGAGACATACTGTACTAAGTTAGATAAATGAGGGTCTCTTAGTCATTCTAAATACGCGGACTGGGCTAAATCATTAGAAATGGAGCCCTGTTCACATGTGTTCTGTGACCAGGAAGACAGCAAGAAAGTAAGTCAGTAAGTCATTTTTTTTCCCCTTTATTTTTACTGAAATAACTTCTGAAGTTGGGTCAGTTTTTCTGAAACATGCTCACAGTGATGAAAGGGATGTAATCTCTTGAACTTCAGCAAGTTGGATGCCGTATTTTTTAAGATAGCATCTGCCTCTGATCTTCAGCTTTTGAGATGCACCCTGCCCTGTAAGCTACAGTAAACCAATATCATATTGGCTTAAAAGATATAATCCTTAAAAAAATCCCCTCCAGACATGCTTTAAGACACAGAAAGATACTTTGCTTTGATCAATAATTCATCTAAAAATACCTTTTTTGACATGTTTGCCATGTAACAAGACATAAATGTGCATTTGATACTGGGGGCACAAGATTAAAAGTTGGAAAATGTATTTTTTCATTTCACTATCTGTATTAATTAACTGCAAATGCAAATAGGACATCCTGCTGCTGCTGCTGCTTCACATTAAAAGCAACTGGCGAAACACTGAGTGGTGGTTATTGTAAAAAAGCAATGTATTTGTCACCGCTGTCAGCACTCACATCATTAATCATTAATCAACGGTCATTACGAGACTTTTTCACACTTGCTGTTACCACGGTAACCACAGGTTACAGGTTAACATGATTACAACTATAAAGTAAAGAAGAAAAAACGTTATTCAAATATGAGCTACCATATAATCCTCTTTTATTTACAGGGACCAAACAAGACAACAAAAGAACACACTGTAGTATAGTTAGCCTACTCATAGAATTACAGTACCAGCTTCCACAGTCAGTGAACATCACCCGTTCTAGTTCAGAGTACAGCCGTATACTTGAAAGGAACCTCTATCTGAGTGGTGTAAATAAAGCATACAGTCTGTGTGTGCAAAATGAAAAACTCTACTTGCACTTTTCTCTCGAGGCACACAATCATTTTCTTTCTTAGCACGAACAGCCAGCGCTGAATCTTTCATGACCTGAAAGCTGTTGGATTAAGTTGATATTTGAGAGGCTGTCATTCACTAAGCAGACGTGTGCAGGGAAAATGTCAAAGACAAGGGGCGCTTTACTCGTGACAAATGACAAGAGGAACCCTCAGTGTGTCTGAATGTGCACATGAATGCCTCCAGACTGTGAATTATAATGACTGTGGCTTTGAGGTATTATTTTTTACAGAATAAAAGACAAAACACATGGTTTTCAAAATTAAAATAGACAACCAGCATTCTCTTCTTCTACGGTTTTACTCAGCGTTTAAGGTTTAACAGACAGGCATCTAAAAATGGGCAGAAAATGGGCAGATGCTACAGTGATTCCAAGCCAGTACTTGTTCCCCATGGGGTAGTTTTGCAGTTGCCAGGGAGTATACGTGTAAAAATTGTAGAGTAGCTCAGCTAATTTGAAAAAAATAAAAAATAGAAATGAACATGGAGAATGCATGGAAACAATAAGGCTAGCAGGGAGTTTAGTTAGCTAACAGTAGGCTAATGCATTAATGTATGTTAGCTTCAGGTATGAATAAAGTTAGCTAAGATAATTGGCTGAAGTATGAATAAACACTGAAATAGTTAGCTGAATGTAATAGATGAATAAAATAAAAGATAATTAGCTAAAAGTAATAAATAAGCAGTTGAAATAGGTATCTGAAGACAATAGATGAATAGTTGAAATATTGAGCTAAAAATAATAAATAAATGGTTAGAATAGCTAGCCAAATATAATAAATATGATTGAAATACTGTCATCAGCCAAATGTAATACACATGGTTAAAATAATTAGCCAAATGTAATAAATATGGTTGAAATAGTTAGCTAAAAGTATGGTTTAATTATAGCTAAATGGAAAGTAGCCAAAATATAACTAAAAAGTATAACAAATGGTACTAAAAAGTACTACGATAGATACATGGTAAAGATAGTAATAGTAATGGATAAACAGTAGAATCAGTTAGCTAAAAGAAATTGCTAAATAGTTGAAATAAATAGCTAAAATAATGGTTACAAAAAGTTAGCCTTAGAGTAACACGAATAGCAGGAAAATGGTTGAAATAGTTAGTTAAATTAGTGGATAAATGGTCCAGCGTCTGGCACTTTAAGCAATAGTAGAATCTAGAACATAAACATTAGCTCAATTGTATGAAAATGTTTTGCTTTGATAATATTAAAATTAGTTCAAATAACACATTTGGATGACAAGTGGTGCTAATGAAGGAGTAGGCCTACTTGAGTTCATCTGACAGGGCTGTTGAGGTACATCGGACAAAAAAAATTTGGAAAAACACTAAAGGTTGTGCCAGTTACTCCAGTGAAGGGCATGAAAAATGAAAGTCTGACCCTCTGTACGGGCAACATAAGTCACAGAACAAACTGTCACTGAACAGACTAACATGACAAATGACTGCAGGAAGCTCTGTCTAGGTCTTGTCTAACAACACAGAGGTTCCTAGGACTCTAGGTTACCAGACCAGTCCATGCCCCCTTTTCTTTGAAGTAAATGATTCATACTACGTAGAAACAGGATATAATAACCCTCAACTTCCTCAACCGCATGTGCTGACACTGAGAGACATGATATCCCACAGGACTCTGTCTGTTTAACTATATTGCGTTGATCTTGTATTACTCTGAAGCCAAATGTGTGAATTCAATATCAGGCGACAGTAACCACTGAACTCTTTCCTCTTTGGGATTTTTTTGTGTTGGCATAAGCACATCGAGGCACCAATTCGCAGGAATGAACGAAACACAGTTTCCATTTTATATTCAGTTGCATTACAGTTTGCCAGGAACAACAGTACTACAACATAATGTCAGAATGATGGGTAACACATAGTATGTTGTAAATTGAATTTACAGTACAGGCGTGTGTGTGCATTTCCATGATAAGTGCTAACAGGCCCACCAGTCCAGGTACTTACATCTGGTCTGAGGCTGGCTGCGCGCTTATACTGCCTCTCGGCTGCCTCGTTTAGACTGGCCTGTCTGAAGAGAAAGAACGGAGAGGAAAGAGGACTAAAAATGTGACATAATACAGTTTATATCAATAACACTGTACTAATACAAATTGCTGATTATAATTGTATTCATTCATTATTACACAGCACATGAATTACTGTAATCAGAGTTAGCCATTCATCAATTGTGTAAATTGCTGTAAAATCCTTTGTAATAGTTGGCTTCATTGCATGTAAAGATTATATTAACTTACTGAAATGTTCAGTAATCAAGCACACAGTACATTGTATTCAGTTAAAACCTCTTGCCTCTGGGTTTCATCACAGGTGATATATTTCTCACTCACCGTTGTGTCTTGTATGAAAAGGTGAGATAGTTGCACTATACATTATTCATCTATAAGGTTCTAATTCTAATTACCTCTGCTCTTTAAACAGCTCTCAAAATACAATAATCATAATGTCAGGTCACAGGATATTTAAACTTTACTGCATCTTCAAACAAACTGGTTTTAAATACTATACTTTTACAATAAAATCTCTCTGTTATGTGTTGTGATTTTTCGTGATTTTTTTTAATAAACAAGCAGCTCCCATCATTTTTTGTTTATGAGCCCTTAAAACAAAACAAGGTCTACCAGTTGGGGCCAAAAAGGGATTATTTCACGTTATTAGTTTGTATGCATACTGAAGTCCTGAAGAAATAACATTTTATAGTAACAGTTTACGGTATACAGAACATTTTTTTTTTTACAATTAGAGGATACTCTGGAAAAATATGTGTAACAGTTTATTTATTTTTTCTGTTGTTGGCTTCTGTTAAATCATCTCGAGACCCCTTGAGCATCTCGATCCCCAGCCTGGGAAAGCTTTTTTTTATGACATAATCTTAAGTAAATTCTAAGGATTATTATTACTTATTAACAACTGTTTCATATCTAACCTTTTTTATCTGCATTATGATATAATATCCTTTCTAATTAATTTCTAATTAGCCAGCAATAATTCATTTTGAGTCCATACTGTAATATAATAGACAGATGGTACAGATCCTTCTTCGGCTGCAGCAATGTTAAAATAATTTTTTATAAGCTTGTAAAATACTTTAGTTTCTAATAAAATTTTCCTTGTTAAGTGATTATTTTTTTGGCTGTGTAATAACTGTGATAATGCAGCAATGACTTGAAGATGACTAGCTCACTGTCCATTATGCCCTACTTATTATTTATCAGAGTATGATGAAGAGAGATGGATGTTTTTATAATGCCAGGAACACTTCACCAACCAGTCCTCTCTTACATCTCACAGCTGGGTTTATGAAATGGCAACAGTTAATCTGCTCCATACATACGATTTTATCCAAAGAGTGCATGAACCGGACTTTGCTGTGCCAAAGTTAATAGAGTCAAGGAAACGATTCTTTCCTGACATGGTGATTAATATTTATAAGACTGTGATTCAAGTAAAATATGCCTTGAGAATGCATGCAACACTGTATGAGGGTTCACTGGTGTTCATAACTGACTAGCATGGCCTTTGTCTTTGTTTTGTTTGGTCAAGTGCTGGAGAGTCAATAAAGAATACAGAAAAAGACTCAGAACGTCAGGCTTAATGGAAAGTAACAATGGTTAGAGGGAAAGATAAGTCATTCTTTCTTTCAAAAAGAAAAACGCATTATTATTTAATCCTAACTGTTTCATTGGATAAATCTCAGATTACCAACACAATATTTGACAGTGGCCAAGCACATGCATTTTTATGGGGTCATATTTATAATCTTGGTTATGGTCAAGATTTGTAGCTAACCATTGCTATCAGTGGAGCAGTTTGAGTTTTAAATCCAGCTAATGACAGGTGTGTGTCACATTCATCAAACCCTAATTCTAATCTGATTGGATTTATGTCACAGTCAGTCTCAGATGAATATAACCAGTTTGGCCAGAATACAGCAGAGTGATCTGTCATTTAGATTTACTCTTACGTTTCCAGAAAGCGAACCTCAGCCAAACCCTGAGACTTTCAACTTTTGTACAAACCGTGGTGTTGCATTCAGATGGATACTAGAGAGCAGTGATGACTTTTCCAGATATGTAGAGCAAAAAAGGAATGAAGGCACATCGCTCCAATATTTCCTTGAGTGGCTGGGAGTAGAGGACATTTGCAGTCCCTTTTGACACATTTTAAGACTTATACGCGGTCTGTGCATGTGCTTGCCAAACTTAGAGGGAAAATTCTCCAAAGGCTTCTTTACAAGCCCTGGACCGAAACAGCACTCTGATGGACTGAAACTGTACTGCTGTTTATAAATGTTATACATAATAGCTTTTATGGTAGCTCTTTCCATAGGGAGGACATTTACTATTCTATAACATTGCTATACTTTATATTTCCAGGATTGTTATTAAATGGCTGTGGTGCAGGATAAACCCACAAATGGTGAAGTACCATGGCAGCAAATTCTGTAAATACACATTTTAAAAAACCTCAACATTAATTGAAATATATACACGCTAATTCAATTTTCTGTACTGTGCGCTTTTTCAAGCAGGGAAACTGTTGTTGTACATCAGCAGTTTAGCCAACCTGAGCATGTGAGCAGCACTGAAGACCACATCAAACTCTGAGCTGTCCAGCTCCGCAGCTCTCTCCGCCATCTCCGCCGCCTCGCCAAGACGAGACTGCTCCAGCAGAAACTGACCTGGAGAAAGGACAGAGGAAGGACACTTATAGTTTTTTTTAGCCATGCTAGTATTATGGCTTTTGAGATGGAGATGAAATATCTCAACTAATGAACGGATTAAGTCATTAATCACACATTTTGTACAGATACTGACAGTCTCCAAAGAGTTTTTCCTCTAGGACGAACGTGAGGTTGACATTTTTTATTTATGAAATATCTGTTGGATGGGTGGATGTAATTGCCATGGAATTTGGCGCATATCCATGGTGCCAAGAGGATATTGAATTTGGCGATCCCATGACTTTTCCTGTAGCAACGTCAGCAGGTCAGAGTTATCCAGTAAAACAGCTCCGCATTACCTCAATGGATGCCTTTTACTCATGGTTTCTAAATGATGAATCATCATGACTTTGGTGATCCCCTAACTTTTCCTCTAGGGCCACTATTTATGAAGTAAATACTTTTGGTTTAAATTGAAAGGTCGCCAACTACTGAATGTCTGTACCACATTTCATAGCAGTCCATCCATGCTTCCCTCAGGATGAACACAAAATGTGATTATCAGCTAACGTTATCATTCTAGGACGTTAAACTAAGATGGTAAACGGTATATATATCCATATGCTAACATTGTGATTTTATGTCAGCATGTTAGTTTTACCACTGTTGCCTACCTATAGACTATGCCACCAGTATGGCTTACGCACTTGTTTACTTGCAAATAGAGGATTTGGCGCGGCTTTGTTCGTTTGCTATTATTCAGTTTAATCTTTAGTGTCATGTTGTGGCAAACATACAGAAGCGGTATTGAGGGCAAAGCAAAGAAAGACGGGGGGAAAGCTTGTAGAGAAGCTCTGACAGACAAAGATGGAGATCGTTGGGGAAACAAAGGAAGATGAATGGAAGCAGCGAGGAGGCAGAGACAGCGAGAGAAAAATGAGACAGTGAAAGGTTTGTTGTTTTGCTCTGCGATGTTTGAGAACACAGATACGACGGAGGTATTTCATGCGTTTTCCTGTGGGAGTCTGGCCACCTGGTGCGGCACCCACAAGTGCCTGCCTCAGTAGCTATAAATTAACAGCCGGGCCTGGCCACAGATGTTACTGAGTGTAGGAAAAAGGGGAATGTGGGGAGGCTCCACTGAGGTGTGTTTCAGTTGTCTTTACTTGTGCTGGATGCTGACTGCATTGAGTGCAGCTTCCAAAAACAAACTATTAGACCCCAAAGCGAACTATTTAGAACCGGGTCGTATGAGGGACAGTTTGCACTAAAATGTGTTATTGTGAACAATGGCAGGAAAGGGGGTCTTGTCTTAGCTATCCACGCTCTGTGTACTCTCTTCCTTGCGCTCTCTGTGTCTTTGTGTGTGCATCCGTTGTGTTATAATGTGGGCCGATATCACTCCTCACACACTCACACCTGGAGCTCATCCAGTGAACCCTGGATAGCTAAAGCAGCCAGATTTGCGATAAAGGAGGGGGACCAGCCCAAATAAACATCACCTATAGCAAGAAGCTAACAAGATAACATTGAAAGAAGAAAACAGCCAGATAGGCAGAGAGGGAGAAAGGAGTGTAAGGGGAAACAGCTCGGTCCAAAGACAGCAACCCACCCCTTGCCAGGGACCAAACTAAACTCAAACACCAAGATATCCAGTGCAGAGAAAGCACGAAGAGGAATGGGGGAGATAAGGAAGAGGAGAAAGGGACAACGCACAATGGCGCTTTCAGCGAGACAGTGGAGATTTAATTTCTTATGAATATCCTAAAGATAGCGACACAAAGCAGCAGAGAGCCTGCTCCTCCCAACTGATATGAAATACTGCATTAACAGCAGCACAGGCGGATCGTGGTATCATGTTGTACTCGAATGGTAAACAGTGTACTCTGATCCTGTCTCCTCACTCAGATAAACATAGCATACATGCCTGTTTGTGTGTGCTTGCACCATCTGCAAAACCTCAAACAGCTCCAACACTCCCAGCACTGATACCAACAGCGAATTAAATGACACCGCAAATTAGTTACTGTGGCGCAGGGATTGCTAAAACACGCCCTGTGATTATTTTTTGGGGGGAAAATGATAAAAACAGAAGGGCTTTTGACACTTTCAAAATGGTTACCACACTGCTTTGGTTCTTTCTAAAACTCTTATCAGGTTACACAAGCTATGAGCTTGGATCCAGGGTGCTTTACAACATAAATTGTAAGAGGACATTGTATATTTAATGACTCTGGGTCTGAGGGTGACGCTACAAAGTTTGGGTCTTGGATAAAAGAGTCTAATGACCGCTGCCTAATAATGATCCAGAGAACAGCTTATTGCAGCAAAGCCTGATCATCACAGTAAACCCTAGCCAGAGGTTTGGATTACAAGCAATCAGGCATGTTATACTTAGTAGAAAATTACTTATATTTCATAGCTCTGTCAACCACAAAGAGACATTTTTTATGAGCAGAAGCATCCATATTCTTATGATTCTAATGTGAGTTGTCAAACAGGTTTTGCTAGAAATGTTAGAAGGGAAACCTTTGCTATCTCTTCTTACCATAGTGCATGTAGCAGTTTCCTTTTGTCGGGTCTAGTTGAATCGCTCTCAGATAGTACTTCTCTGCTTCGGTCTTCTGCCCCTAAAAGAAAAAGGAAGAAAATCATTGACTACACCTGATATTTAAGTTCCTGTAATATTGTGTTATATCTATGTAGTATATTTAGTTTCTTGCAATGACACAAGACACACCCTAAACTACAAGTTTTTTTTTTATTTATTTTTTTACAAAAAACTGACTTGAAAGGAATAGATACTAATTTCTGAATGAGGTTTAGCAGAAACTCAGTTAAAAATGTGAAAAATTGTATATTGTATATAACATGCATATTGTATACGTGGACACAGATTTAAACACACAGCTACAAAAATCACGTGTACGTTACTGTGTCTGCTTTGAGTTATTTTAGTTGAAGCATAGTAACCCTGCTGTTAAGTTTCGGCAGGAAACCAATGCTCATAAGAACCTTTAAAATAAACCTCCAAGGTATGAATGTGTGTGTGTGTGTGTGTGAGAATCTGCAACCAAACTGAGAAACGTATTGCTTCTGTGTGCATGATGCTCGATTTCTCCACCTCCTCTGTTTCATGCTTCAGCACTGATTGCTGCCATATTGCCAATGGACTTGCCATGCAAGAAGAAATGAGAGGACTGGGCATATTAGGTTTGCTTCATTAGCCTTTTCCCATGCCCGCAATCACTCCATATGAATGAGCGAATATTGGGCCTAGATGGCTTATTTCACATTTTCTTTGGCTCTTTTCTCTTTGCATTCAATTAAACCTTTTCCCCAGCCATCCATCAGAACTGAAAGTAAAGTGGTTCAGTGAGGTTAACATTTCATCATTTAGCAGATTTATGAAAGGTTTCAGGTGAATTAAAAAAAAACACGTTTATAAACAACTATCAAAAAACTATTTTGTGATATATTATTTTTTAACTGATTTATTGCTGGGTATGCACTTCTCCAGTCTGAAATACCTGCACACTTTCACCATATGTAATTCTCTGTGTGTACATTATGAGTGGTCTCAAACCATGAGAGGCAGTGGTTGTCATCAGGGCTAAATGTATCTAAATTCATAAATCAGCTTAACAATGACTGACCGCAACTTTCCCTTAATGCACACCACACCACTCTGACTCCAGCATGGATCTCTGACCAGCAGTGGGGCTCTAATGTTACACTACACTTATTTGAAAGTACTTTGACCATGGGAAGAATAAGGCAAATTAGTGGCTTTAGGAATTGGACTTGTTTTTTGCTGAGGGATGTGGATGGGTACAAGACTATTCCAGCTTTATTATTGTGTGGATTTACTTGTAAAAGGAGGAGGAGAGGGTCACTTTTAAACTTGGAGCACAACTCCACATCAACTTTCAGCAAAAAAAACAACACTACAGCACATGTTGGGGTGAACCACGGTACAAGACTTCAGTTTGACCTCTCCTCCCTGCGTCTGTATTGTCGATTGACTTCGGCAGGACGGACAAAAATGTAGCTGATGGAGTGATTCAATAAGGAAGGAGAGTAATTGCATTATAAGCCTGTCCACTGGCCCATTGTCCGGGGTCCATCCAATCTCCTGTTCCTAAAGCCCTGTAGTTGTGGAGGGGGGCCTATGCATGGATCTGCAGCCCTGAGCCTGAGGGAGCACAGCAGATGTCCAGCCACACTGGGCGACTCTAATCTGAACCTGTGCTTTAGGTGTGTGTGTGTGTGTGTGTGCGCTGTGTATATCTCGAAATCTTTCAGCAAAAGAGGGGAAATGATCAGAACTCAGGTTTAAAGCCTGTGAGGGTTGCAGCTGCAAGTGCGTAAGGCACTGCAGGTTGGTTGCGTCTTTATTCAGCACCCAAGGCCGTTGAAGGGAGGAGGTCAAACATCTCCAGAGAGGTTACAGAGGACACACAGCTCAACCCCTCTACATCTAAACTTGACTCAGCTGTGAACACATCTGTTGTCACATGAGTGTGTTTTTGTTTTGATAGTGAGGGAGAGGTGGTGGGAGGACAGGAAGTGTGGGTTTTGTCCTGCAGAAAAAAAAAACACTAGAAGTTGGGCAAACTTGTGTGCCCTTGACGTCTTCGAACACTCGCATGTATATACAGATACACACAGCGAGGGATTGAAAACACACAGATAATCTGGAACTCATCCAATCACAGAGGGATAGCTTTCATCCACACCAGAAAAACTCCCTCACGTCTGTGACCTTCAGACAGCAGACATGAATTTATGCAGCTACTATAGAGCTAATTTTTAAAGCTATTTGGCATCGCTCCTGCTTCAGGGTCAATCCAAGGTCACCAAAAAAGCTATTTATCATAACATTTCTGTCATAATTCCGTCTTTCATGCTGTGTGATTCCCTTTTCATCCAGCTAGTATTGCTAAAGGTCAAATGCTATATTCATGAATGCATCATAATTCCTCTTGTTGACGTCTGAGCAGGAGAGGAGAGCTTGTTTAGGATGCACCTTTCGGAGTCAGAAGCTCGTACCTCATAAAAATTATCACAGTTCTTCAGGTGCTGCAGGGGAATCGATAGGATGGCTTCGCCTCGCTCCGATGTCCCATAAGTCACTCAATATGCATTATTCATCGCTGCACTCTGCCACTTCAGGTCCCTTTTAATTACACTCTGCCAGGTAGTTAACCACTGCAATCGTTACTAAGATAAAGCTTTGGCTCGCCTCATGCTTTTTCCTGTGTGTTTGTGTGTGCTCCAGTAATGGGACTTACAATGATAGACAGGAGTTTGCCATAAGTGAGGTGTGCAGGGACGTGGTCAGGCTTGGTCCTGAGGGACTCTCTGTACCAGTGGCCTGCTTCCTCCAGCCTATTCAGCCTCATGTAGGCCTCTCCTGAAACAGAACACAGATCAGGAGTCAAGATTGTGGTTTTTTTTTTAGGATAATAATGACTTAATGAAATATTAGAAATGAAAAGCTATATCCATGAGTGCTGGCTTTCTGGCATATGTATTTCATTGTGATATTTCAAGAATATTATTAATAAATGCAAAAATGAAACATTAACAGCTGAAAAATGATTTCATTTCAATAATAAATACTCATTACTTTTATAACTGGCATGTTAATTAACGACAGAACTCTTGTTTTGCTTTTAGTTTTCTCTCACTAGGCTCGCCATTTTGTTAATTCAAAAATGATTTATTGAGAAAAGTTTTGGTGGGGATCCTCGTGGTTTAAGTCTGGAGCAGATTGTGGCAGTGTGCGGAGGAGGAGAGTGTCGTAGTCTGCCCCAGCCTACAAACAAATTGAACCACCTGTTTAAACCATATTCTGCTATGCTCTCAGCTCCCTGGTGTACTGCTCGTAGTTTATTAAGTTTATTCATATTAACAAATTTGATTTTTATCATTTGAATCTCCCGGCCCTGGGACATAAATGAAAAGTTAGTGTTAACACTGATTCTAAGAAGAAAAAAAAGAAAAGAAAAAAAAGATTGCAGCATTTTTTAATAGGTATAGACGAATAAACTTCCTTAAACTCTGCCTCTTATCCATAGGGTCAGCATTCCTCACATTCTGAATAAATACTCCACTGTAGTTCAATCTGGAAAACACCCTCTCTGAAATAACAGTTGTTGTGCTTAAAACATTTAGTTTGATCTGAGAACATGCTGTTGGCCCCTGGGGTAAAATTACATCAGTTTTAATAAAGAATCCACTGGATATCACAAACACTGCCCTTCTTCAAACCCCCCCTCCACCTGACAAAACACACTTCCTATTCCCATTTAGCTTGTCAAAGGAATTCTTGCAGACATCTCCCTGCAATCTCAACTATGCCGTCAGGATGAGCTTCCAATAATGTAATTAGTGTTAGAATAACAAAGAGATGGATGTGATTCATTACACGGATTAGCTTCAGTCCTCTGGAAGAGGTGCGCATACTTGTGAGCTACAGTGTTGGAGTGAAACAGATGGTTCATGTCCTCTGACCTTTTTTTGTCAATTTGATTAATTCAATTCAAAGCTCATATAAAATAAAATATAAAAGGAAGACCAACATTTCAAATGGCAAATGAAAATCACTTAAAATGTATCACTGAAGCTCAAGCCATAGTACATATGACTACACTGTCATCATGACACTCTTCATAATGGATGCAAATATAATTACATGCATCAAATGGTTACCTCATCAAAATACTGATTAACATTTCAAAGCAGGTGTTGCCAAAGTAGGGAATTTATAATCGTGCAATCTCAGTTTCTGTATTGCAAAAACAAAAAGATTCAGGGTGAAACAGGCTCCAACGGTAACTTACCCATCATGTTGAAAAGGCTGTGTGGTGCAAACTGTCTGGGCATTTTTTGTACCGCTTCCTTATAAATAGACAGGGCCTCCTGTCGGGGAGGGAAAAGAGTTAGACTTAGCAAGTCCAGTTTTTGTTTTGCATCAGCATAATAGAGGCCTTGTAATTGATGAGGCTTTTACTTTGTGCAAAACAGGCTTTACTAATTACAGTTTCCTGTTCAGTTCTAAATGGTTGAGCTTTTAGCCCTACATTAGGAATAAGTGGTAAGTGGTTTAAATCATAAGTGGTCATAAAGTTGTTGTGAAAAGCAATACAAAAAGTATTTTGGCCCTACCCTGATAATCGAAACTTAAAAGCTCCTAAAAGCACAAACTGGACACACTAACCTCCTGCTGGCCCTGTTCATGGAGAAGTTTTCCCAGGTTGTACAGGCAGCTGGTGACAGAACTCTTGTGGGCGTGGGGGTCCTTCAAGTTCTCATCTGGAATGTCTGCACAGGTCAAAAAGGTGCGTTTGGCCTCCTCCAGGTTGCCCTGGTTCATCAGGATGATTCCTGTGTTCAAGTAGGCCGCTATGAGGAGGAGGAGGAGGAGGGGAAATGTATTAGATTTTTGAATTGATTGAAACAGCACAACCTGCCATCCAAATGTAAACACAGGATTAGAACCTGTCACTTACAAATTCAACAACTAGATCTAAGTCTAAGTTCGAATGCTGTTAAAGGTTTGTTTACGATGTGGAAGATCTACAAAGCTAGTTGAGGAAGATCGAAATGCAATAATATATCCAAAAGGAGACAGGACAGAGGTCAAAGAAAGATAAAATTACTATAAGAAAAGTAAGTAAGAAGAAGAAATAAATTTGGCTAAAAGGAGATTAGGCTAAGGACGAGTTCAAGATAACTTATCAAGTTGAAAAAGCAGCCAGGAAACCTGTCCTCTCTCATAAAATTGTCCTTGGTACAGTAAAAAGACGTACCCTCATCTTCAATGCGAGCACTCAAGTGTGAGATTGAATCTCATCACTTCACCGTCAAGCTAAAATAGGCTGAATATGGCCCTCCAAATGAACTACGTGGTACCGAACAGAACATCTAATTCAGCACTAAAGTTGGACCATGATGATGGTCCAGTAATGGACCCTTAGCTCACATCTAATTAATCCAAACAAAGACTCAGCCAAAATGAGAACATCTAATTGCTGATAACTCTTCCCCTGATCACAACCACTCCAAACATCACGTATCAGCTACAAAATTAGACTTTCTCTTAAGTTTACTTACATGCCAGTGTTGGCCGACTCCCAATGGCCAGTTTGTAATAATGCAGTGCTTCGGAAAAACGCTCATTCTCCTGGAGCAGCAAGCCACTAATAGAGAGGAAAAAAAGCAAAAATGTGAGACAATTTTATAACACCATAAACTGCATAATAGAGGATTGGTCTTGTTATTTTAAATCTGTGAAGCTAAAGTAAGCTTTACCCAAAATTACAGAACGTCAAAGTGATGAGGGCACTTTGGGTGAAAGCTAAGAAATAAAAACAAAATGTAGCAGCTTCTGTATCCCTTACCTAATATACCAACACATAACCCCAATATACCCAACCATCCATCATATTCAAACAGCACCTCCGTTTTAAAGAATGCAAGAACACCAACATTCGGTTTTCCCTTCTCCCTATGTTGCTTTGCCAGCTTCCTGACACCCGTAACTTGAGAGGGAGAAAAACAGTGTCAGCATGAGAGCAAAAGACATGGGTCTGCTATGAGGTTTTGGCACCTTTGACACCTTGTGTTGCAGAATTGGAAGTGATCTCCCATAGGCCCTGCAAACCACGACTAATCTAATCAGTAGCAGAAGGTACAAAGAGTCACCAGGGACACACAAAGTTATTTCCTTTTTGTCACACTCTTGCATCACTCTTAGCTCTGCGTCTCACTTGCTTCTTTCCTCCTGTATTAGATCTATTTTTGTTTTGGCTTCTTTAAGTTCTTCCTGTCTGTCACCATCTCTGTCATTCTCCCTTCTCCCTTCCTTTCTCTTTCTGCCTTTCTTGTTCTGCCGCTGCGATCTCAAGTGATGGATGAGGGGGAATCAGAACTTGTTCGTGTCAAGACTTTGCAAACAGGAGGAGGGGGAACTGGCGTCTTTAACACTCACAGGTTATACAGCATGTCAGCCATGTTCCCTCGGTGGTGCAGAGCATTTCTGTACGCCTTCTCCGCCTCCGCCATCTTGCCCTGGTTCTTCAGTACGTTTCCCAAGTTTCCCCAGGCTACAGGAGACATGTGTCAGTCAAAAAGTTGCACTTTTTGAGTGGAAAAACTTTTGGCATTGATGTAAAAATATTGTTATTGCCATCAATTTGCCAAAATAAACTGTAATCGGTTAATTGAATAATAAGTAATCACAAAAGCCTACATAGTTATACTGTTTATGTTCATCAATGTAATGTGACTTAGAATTACTTCTGTATTTGAAGTATTTTAAAACCAGTCTTGCATGAAATTTTCCTCTTCATGAAAGACTGGCTTTAAAATAACTGTGGTTTTCTCTGTGGATTTAACTGTGTTGAAGTTCCCCAAGCAGAGATGTTAGTTTAACTTTATTTCCACTGTTTTCTTTAAAACAAACAAAAGTTATGTTTAGATTCAATGTTCCCATTGAGATCTAACAAATGTACTGAATGTCAATCATTTCAATAATGTGAAACCATCTTCAGTAATGCGTATCGTGTTGTACTTCCTCGTGGGCATTCTTGAGACAAATAGCCAGGGACTCGTAGTGCCACTAGTGGCCAAAAACTTTGCAGGGTGCCTTTAAGTTAGCAAAATGAAAGATTTGAATTTCTTGTGAATGTCATCATGGCCACAAGTGACATAGGCAAATGCAACATTATGTAAAAGTAGCAAGTAAATAAGGTGTTATGTTAATGACACATTAGCCACATTAGTCATACCAGGCCACTTTGGCAATAAGATTTAGAGTGTATTAGATAAAGGATGTGTTATTTCTTCATTCAAAGTTATATTGTCTTGCTTTAAATCAGATGGTGGTGCTTGGCAGCTTTGAATACTGATGCTATGCAGAGATTTCAGTCAGTACTAAAAAGGTATTAAAGTTTGATACCCATCCCTAATGATAAACAGTGCCCTTCTCTCACCTTTAGCAGGATTCACACCAATCCCAGACTTGTAGAGATTCTCCTCATTGCTCCAGTCCCTGTTTCTTTGAACAGTTCTGAGTCCATTCAGCAGCACTAGTCCCGTACAGAGACACAACAGTAAGGCCTTGCAGCCTCTAGTCCTCAGTCTGACATACAAGGTTCTTGCACCAGTAGCAACCAGTAAACAAAAGCCTATACTGGGGATGTATAGTACCCTCTCTGCAATTACAAAACCTACATAAAAGAATAGGTTTGTGGCTGGGATGAAAGGCAATGACATGATGCCTAATGAAAATATTACTAGGTTTTCTGTAGGGGGCAGGGAGGTCCGTGGAGGGCAGTGGTGGGGTCCACCTGACCCATTCAAGGTGGACTTTGGCAGTCCCTGGTCTGTGTTATGGTTTGTGTCAAGGGCATGGTAACCATTCCCGTTAGTGATTGATTTCCCATTAGTGACATAGGCCTTCCCATTAGTCTCTTTGGCTTTGTAGGTGGGGCTACGAAGGCCAAACAAAGCCAGGAGGATAAATCCACCATAAAAGGCAACAGTGTGAAGGTTCCTCCAGTCAGCTAAGGACCTGACCAAGGGCACAGCGTCCATGGACCAATCAAAACTGAGCTTGTCGGGGCAGAGCAGGAGCCAGGCATTGGCGGCGGGCAGGTGGAGGAACGTTAGCGTTCGAGTGAGAAAATGTGGTGAGTCAGCTGCAGGGTTGTCAGAGTTGGAGAAGTTGGGAGGCTTATTGCCCATCCAGTAGAGGCGAGCTGACAGCAGAATCACTCCCCAGGAAGCCAGCGCACTAAGACTCAGCAAAACACTGATGTTCTTTTTCTGAAAGAGAGGAGGAAAAAAACTCATGCTAAAGGAAAACACCTAAATCAACATTTCAGTCCAGAAGAGCTTAGTCAAAATCACAATATTTTTCCGTGTTCCAGAGCACCTGAATTTGTTTTCATATAAGAAGGCTTTTTAATACCTGTCAAGTTATTCAAGGTCTGGATAAGAGCTGAACCAGAGTGACAATGGTCCTGTAAATGTATTTGTGGTCTCAGTAGACAACAAGCTGTTAGTCCCGATCTTTCAGTATGAGCTGTTAAGGTTTGATTTATAAATCCTAGAAACTTCCAAATGTATTATCCCACTGTTGTATAGAAAAAGAAACTATGCAAAGCTATCTCTGGAATGTTTTTGATAGCCGCCTGGGGCATAAACCGCACTCATGTACAATTATACAGTTCTTTGTAACACTAGCATAGTTCTTAAAATTAAAATGCACCATAGCCAGAAACAACACAGCTCTGTTTAGATGAAAATAGTGAAATATGACATATTCAAACTGGTGAAAGACACACTGGGATTTGGACAGCTGTGTCCTATAATGGGTGTCACTTTTGGGCAGCAACAATGTGACTGTTTATATGAAGAAATCATCATTTCTAATTAAATATGTCATATTCAAACTGGTGAAAGATGCATTATTTTGAAATGTCGAGAACATATTATTAAGGGTAAGAAGGGAAAAAGTCCAAAATCAACAAAAAGAGAAAAATCATCATTCTTCCATACAGATGTGAAGTAAGGATTATTTCTATAATTTTCTATACGTTAGTAAACCACAATCTCCTCAGTTATGACCTAGCTGGGCTCAACTTTGAAGTAAACTTGAAGTATGAGAGGCTTTCTCTCTAAGTCTTTCGCTGTTGCCTGTCAGGTTTTGCAGTGAGTGTGACTGGTAATCAGCTTAGGACTCATTGTGTTGGTATGCAGATGCTGTTTACATCTCATAAGAGCATTAATTCTGCAGCATGATCACCATTAGGTCCTCTGTCACGCAACACCTTTAAACGAACTGTCACACGCCAACCGAGCGCTCACTGCAACCTTGAATGAATGCTCCCTTTCTAAACTAGATCATGTTAAACTCCTTAAAAATGGCTGCATTGATACATACTTGGAAAGAAATGCAGATGACATTTGGTTGGTGATTCTTTAAAAATCTGTTAAATCAGTCTTTGATGCATAAATTAGATTTAAAGCCAGAGACTGGAACTATGTGATACGCCACTGGGGCAAAAGTAATTCATTTCAGTTGCTTCACTATGGTCGGCAGTTTGAGTTACAGTTACTAAAACATAACAAGGTTGTATGATCACATCCTTAACCTCTTGACCTATGATCAATGGCTTGTTAAATGACATTGATCAGTGACAGAAGGGAAAGAAATGGGAAGGCATAGCCATAAGACTGATGACAGCAAGACAATTTTTGTTTAGCTTTCTGTGTCAGATGCTCTGATGTCAGATTTCTTCAATACAACATTCTGATATGATGCTTTCTGAAATCAATTACCGCTTAAATCTGATTTAGTAGTGTGTTTTTGCCAAGTTTAAGTAAATCTGATTTCATGTCTTTCATTAAACACTGATGAAACTGGAATGTCATATATAGGCAAAGACTTATTTACGGAGACAGCCTGGCGCAGTCCTGACCAGAAAGTGCTTGTTATTCATGTTCTTTACCTAGTGGACTAAATACGACATAACATCATGAGTGATGATCACAGAGATGCTGCTTCCTTTCTATTTTCTGAGCCCATTTATTCTTTCCGAGCACCAGTGCAATATGAACTCTATTTGAACCTGTCCACAAGGAATTAGAGCTGGTACATGCTTACATACTGTAAATACTCTTTACACTGTCTTGTATTATTGCGCAGTAGTATATTGGTGGTCTGTTTTTTGTGTTATCAGTGTTGGCTTTGATGTAACTGATAATCATCATCAGAGAATCTATAATTCAAAGTGTTGATCCAGTGTGGCCCTACTTTTTTTTTTTTATCTCTTAAGTCAGTTTACGCTACTATAGTAATAATTTAGACTTTCTGTATAATCCGCTCTGAATGAATTGCACAATAGGCAGATAAAATCTTTTTTAAAAGCTACACAAAGAACAAAGAACAAGCTTTCAATTGTCTCATTAATAAACTTTAGAGAGATTTATTTCCTCTCTTACAATGAGCATGCATGAGTAAGCTCATGTGTGCACTTTGAGGAACCATGATGGAAAACATAAGTTATCCATAACAAACCCATGTTAGGATTAGAATAAGAGGTTTAGCACTGCCTCGCCTGACCTTTTGGCTCCAGTTGATTTCTCCGGATCTGAAACGGAAAAGTTCCCTGAAGAGTTTAACTAAGGTACGAAGTGTAGGCACAGCTAGTTACAGAAAGTCACTTGTTAATAGTACGATGGAAAAGGGCCAGTTCAAGGAGTTCAACACTTTGGAGCACTCTGAGAGGCAGTGGGGAAGTGAGAGTGGAAAAAGATTGGATATTGATTTGAACGCTGAAAGGTGGTACACAAAGGATAAGAGAGAGTGCCTTTTACATAAAAAGGGGGGGGGGGGGGCTTATTGATGGATGGGCCCATGTTGGCTGTCAAGGGAGGAAACTGTCTGAGAAATCCAATTCTGCTTGGTATTAGAAGATAAGCCAATTCCAGCAAGAGAGTCATTTGTGGTATTTAGGTGAATGAGCTTCATTTTACCCCTCGCTGCCTTGTCTATTTCGAAATCGTTCCTTAATTGACTCCCCAATCAATCACACATGGAGAAGTCAAACTGCAAGTGTGCTAGAGCGGAGGCCGGTTCTGCTTTTCAATGATGTATGGCCATAAATTCACAAACTCAGCAGCAAATATCTGCAGTTTTCTAGCCAACTTAACACAAGCTTTCTAATTAGCGTGTTTTTAGAAGCATCAGGTTGCAGGTTGGTTATTGAAGTAGGCACGAAGTGGCAGGATTGCCTCTTTTTATTTCCTGTAAGAGTGATACTAGTCTACAACGACCGTTCCTCCCAACTCAGTAGAGTCTCCTGTGGTCGGTTGAAAATAGATCTTCAATAACCAACCAACTGAATCACTCCCTACTCAACTACACCCTCTAATTGCTCTAAAAAGTCCTTTAACCTCTCGATTTAGCAGTTGATTTATTGATTTCCCTAACAATTCCAGCTTACTTTGTCTTTCTATGCTCAGAGGAATATTGGCAGGACAGTAACCTCACTAATACAGACCTTAAAATGAGCTTGAGCTGAGCTTAATGCTCTTAATGAATCTGCTCTAAGAGGTTAGTTTTAAAAAACACATAAACTTAAGACAGAATTCTTGCCATTTCTTGGACCTTTCTCGTGGTGCATATTTTGACTCCTGGCAGGAGAAGTACAGGTGTAACTAATCACATTAACAATGGCCCTGCCACATTCAAGCGTGCCACTGAACTAGCATGCTCGACACCAGGACGGACCTAATTAAGGTTATGAGTTACACCTGTGTTTAACAAGCCAAACTGCTACAACCGGAAAGGTCTATTCGGTCTTTATTTGTCTTTATTTGTCTGTCTGTCAAATTCAATTGTTTTTTTCATAAACTCAATAAAAATCTTTAAACCACCTTTTGCCTTTTGTCTTTTGTAACAAAGTCATCATAGCAACTTATCTTTTCATGCTCGCCCCATGATCAGACTTCAACGAGAAAATAAGTACATTTTACACCACATACTACCTCAGAAAATATTAGGCTCTCCAGGTACCACCATTATGGCCGACGTTAAAATCCAGTAGCGTAGGCCGATTGTATTGAGCTACACACACTTCACTCGGGAGGCAGGTTAATTCCTAATAAGATTTTTTACTGTTGACTGTTGTTGAATACTGAATTGAACCGGTTCTACACTTCTCTTCCCAATAGTTCCCATTTGGAGCCATGATTGCAGTGTTTTTGAACCATATACTTTTACCTCTGCTTACTATCTTGCCCTCACATTTTAGCTTTTAACTAATCATGGATGAATGAATGCCCACACTACGTGCATGAACGTGATTATATAACAGGCTGATAGTGAAACAAAATATTACAGTATTTTCATTCAAACTTTGATTTTTTTATTATTTTCTATTGATAATATTGTGTTTTTAAATCAAATAAATCAATCATTTTGTAAAAAAACAAAAACATTTCCTCTGTATAGTGGTACACACAGGATCTTCTGATATATTTTTTGGAATGATCTTACCATAGTTTGAGAACCAGCGGCCTAGACCATATGCGGTGCATACAAAATTAAGAATTTATTCATAAAAGCACCATGTCTGCACAGAAACCTGTAATGAAATTATTCACAGGATGAAGACCAGTGGTGTTATGAGTAATGGCGGGACATTGGTGTTAAAGGGGGTTTAAGACAACACAGGGATTCTTGAAGCCCTTGAGACTAAACACAGAAAGTAGCCCCCTGGATTAGCTAATGTGGATCTACTTCTGGGGCAACTTGCCGTCTAACCATAATGTTTTTACCGGACTTTGTGCTTTAAAATCTTTACAATGGAGGCGATGAGTGCAAAGTTAGCATGTTTTCGATATCGGGCTGAAAATACTTTTTCCTCAAAAAAAACTCAACTTCTGGAGATATACTTAACTGACGTTATATTCTCTATAGGTAAAATATATATTTGTTATTATCAGTGGGAAAATAAACAGTGCTACATCAAAAAACTAAAATACAGCCACAAATACCAGATGTATCGTCAGTGAGTGTTTTTTTAAAAGATTTTTTTTTTAAATTTCACTGTTCTCCGCTTTCCTGCTATCTCACTTAAATTCCTGGGAACTGGTTCTTGCTCTGATTGATTGGACTTCATGAGATCTGTGTGTATCCATGGAAGAAGGCTGCCGCATAATCCTCCGCCAACTGTCAAATGTAACATGCTGCTCGCTCCAAGCCTTTGAACCTAACGCTCTTTCACATATCTCCTCCATTTTGGATCCTCATTTGG